GAATGGAATAAGAAATGGGAAAGACATATCTTATTCAAAATTAAATACTTTCAAATCAAAGCAAAAGATAAACTTTTTCAACACCTGTTAAATATGTTTTGCCACGACAACAAGAGTCTTCCTTCTCATTCTTAATCATTCATTGGTCGGCCATGTCTGATATAGCTTTGATTTTATCGCTCTTCCATATTGTTTTTCACAGTTGCCCTACCAGTTGCAATTGGGATCGTTTCCTCGTTTTGGCTGACTGTTGAATGAACTTAACACGGTACGTTGTATGTATTGGAAAAATATGAATGGAATCATTATGTTTCGGAAACCACCACTTTAAACAGGATGCAAGCATGTCAAATTGTCAATGACCTATTAAGGGCCATTTATTTTTATATGGGGAAGTCTAGTGATGACCATATTTAAAAACCCCAGTCAACCCCTGGATCGACTGCTTACCAATATTGTTGTCTTCAACCTCGCTATAGGAAAGATGGACTTACTACTAAAGGTTCACAAAAAATGTACCGGCAAGAACTTTTATCGAAAAGTTATTGTCCCACATCTGTAACAATGAAGTCCCGGAGAAAATTGTACTTGACTTGTATTTTGTCGTCGATAAAGCTCTATCTACATAACAAATAGATAGTTCAAAGATTGTTTTCTTAAGAAGCAAATTCAGTGTAAGACTTTGATAAAATGTTGCGGCTAGGATTTTTGTCATCAATAATAGAAAACAATTAAATGTTCGCTGCCCTTGTTACATGAAATTTAAAATATGAACGAACTCCATGATGTGTTTTTTTCAGTATCCGACCTATAATATTCATGATTAAAATAAAAAATTAAACTTAGTTTTATAGAAATTACTTGGCATATTAATTTCATAGTTTTTCTGCTTCACATCTGCTCTTGTATTTCATTTTTAACCACTGTTTTTTTTTATAAACATAAGATAACACAATCCATACAGGTAACTTTGGCATAGTACCATGTCATTATGAATCACGAATAAAGAGATAATTTCATTATTTTTTTTTTTTTTTTCTTGATAATAAAAATTGATAATGTCCAGTGTCCTATATAAAAGTGAGAATGGAAATGGGGCTTGTGTCAAAGAGAAAACAACCCGACCAAAGAGTAAAAAAACAGCCGAAGGCCACCAATGTGTCTTCAACACAGCAAGAAAATCCAGCACCCGGAGGCGGACTTCTGAGCGGACTTCAGCTGACTCTTCAACAAAAATGTGAACTATCAGTGAAAATAGATGTGATACTAAACTCCAAAACATATAGATGCCTATCACTTAAATATTTGTTTATTCTGATTAAAACATGTGTTTAATAAACTTCATTCATTTCTAGGAAAACTGGTTAAAAATGAAACCGAAAGCCTATACATGTTAATTTTCAGGACTGCAAGTTATCTTCCGTGTCCGCTCAAAAAAATGTTTGGCACTGTTCATCAGTAACTTTCCATCTGCTTTGAATTTGAACAAAGAGAAGGAAAATTTTTTAAAAAGTGTGCTTTCCTTCAAACGGGAAGTTTTCCTCTCAGCTTTTTGATTTTTACTAGATATAGTGTTATCTATAGCTAGCCATCATTGATGAAAGATAGTAAAGGCGTTTGTTTTGTCAGAAAGATTTATCAAACAAAAAAAAATCTATTTGTCATGTATATCTTCAAAGGATCTCAGGAAATTTACGAACATTTTTTATCTATAATAATCAACAATATATCAGGTCCTACTTTTTTTTATATTTGCAAAGGATTGTCATCCCTTTAACCTGTTAATGTCATGTTTGTTCCTTTTAATTGTTAAAGAATGAAGACAAGTAATCACCAAATGTCGGGTACGGGTAAGGTTAGTCAGTCAATTGTTATCTGCTAACCAGAAGATCTTTAACGTCGACTGAGAGGAAAATCTTACTTTCAGTCATAGTTAATAGTTATAATGATTGCAATTCATACGTTTTGAAATGTCCATAATTAATAAACTCATCATAGATACCAGGATTGAAATTTTATATTTGCGCCAGACGCGCGTTTTGTCTACAAAAGACTTATCAGTGACGCTCGAATAAATTTGTTTTTAAAAAGGCCAAATAAAGTACGAAGTTGAAGAGCATTGCGGACCAAAAATTCCTAAAAGTTTTGCCAAATACAGCTAAGGTAATCTATTCCTGAGGTAGAAAAGCCTTAGTATTTCAAAAATTCAAAGTTTTGTAAACAGTTAATTTATAATTATGACCATATCAATGATGATTCATGTCAGCACAGAAGTGCTGACTGCTGGGCTGGTGATACCCTCGGGTTATGCTTACTACAATTACATAATGGGAGATACACAGTATTGACAGTTTTGCAAGTTACATTTTGAATCATGATGTAAATCAAGTTACATTGTAAATCATGGTGTAAATCTTTTTGTGTGCCTTTTTAAATCTGGGAATGCAAACATTTTCCAACAACCCTTGCAAGAGAGTGATGATAATAACCCTGTTTAAAAGACCATTCAGATCTGACTATCCGTTAAAAACCTTTGGGCTACGGCAATCCAGAAAATTCAGCATGATAGGGTGATTTTGATTTCTAATTAATTTTTTGGATCATTATTATATGTCAATTAATCAACAATTGTATGGTAAGGAAGCACACATGGGTTTCTTTTTTTTTTACATATACATCTATAAACTCTGGTGTACAAAATTATAAGCCTAGTATCTTTGATGCGTTTGTTCTAACTCTACGACATTTCGTACTGTCTATAATATGTCAGGATTAATTGTGTGTAGTCTATATTGTTATAATGTAATATTGGGTTATTGAAGGTTGTACTCTGCCATAGGGTTCTTACGACGAGGCGTTCTAAACACGAGAATAATGTTCATGACTAAAACTGTCCCCCTTACAAAACAAACCATCCCCGGAATCGTTGAAATAGGAACAAAACTATATTACATTGTTACATACTTTGTTTTTATAGTTATTAAGATTATAACACAAAGTTGACTGCTGTACCCCAATTTTTGAAATTTTTACCTATTATGTATGTTTGTTTTGTTCACACATCGTTGTCAATATAATGGAATTGTATGCGACTTTCATACAAGTGAGAGGTTTAGCTAGCTATAAAACCAGGTTTAATCCACAATTTTCTACATAAGAAAGTGTCTGTACCAAGTCAGGAATATGACAGTTGTTATCCATTCGTTTGATGTGTTTGAGCTTATTGATTTTGCCATTTGATTAGGGACTTTCCGTGTTGAATTTTCCTCGGCGTTCGGTATTTTTGTGATTTTACTTTTTACACCACCTTTTGAGCAGGAGTGATAAGAATCAAAGATGGTTGATTGGTGATGGACGTAACAATTTGTCTACTGTGCCATCAACGAGATATTCTAAATTCAATCCAGGAAAGAAAACTGTCTCGATAAGATCTTCATATTCACAATATGTAAGATGTTGAAATATAAAAATATAGCAATATTTTGAAAGTAATGGGTAGATTTCGAAGGACATACATAGTCCTGCTTAATGTGTCCAAAGACTTACCAATCAAGAAAAGTTAGGCAGACGCTAGGGAATACAAAAATTACAAATGTAATAATAGTGTAGTATAATATTGACAATATAAACAATATAAAGTTACTATCAAATTATCGTGACGAGTGATCAAAATCTAAACATCATTACTCTAAACGAAACTAATGATGGTCAAGTGTTCAATGGTTTACAAGTTATACTTCCTTATTGTTACTATATATAAATACATAGGAGCCTGGGATGACCTGTTCTTTCATTATTGTTTATATATCATATTGTATTATTTAAGTGTTAAAGTTACAATAAAATGGCTGAACTTCAAGAATATGAAGAAGTAAGACCTGTAAGACGAGAGGAGATGTATGTCTACGATGACATTAAGAAGGATATTAAGATGGACAATGTTAGCAGTCCCTCACGGAAACAATATCTAAAAATGTTTTTTGTGGCGATTGCAGTTTCATTTTTTTCTGCTATTGTTACTTATTTCACGATGTATGGTAAGTTCAAATAAATAGAATTTTAATCCTAGTGCACGCTTCTGAATGTTCTTACAGATGAAATATCACATTACCGGCTCAATCAAAATACGGGAATTTTTTAATATTTTTTATTATATCTTTAACGGACATGTTTACAGCATTAAAATATAATTTTTAAACAAAAAAACTATTGATGGATTTTCAAGAAACTCAAAGTGAAAATATGCATCTTCGCTTTTTACATAACTTCTACTCATTTATATACCTATTTCACAAATATTAAATTGCAGTATCTTTGGAAGTATAAATGCAACTGTAACACATATCATTTTGTCGATGTTTAGGAGCAGGTCAATAAGCTCTAAATGCACATAAAATTTCATCAATATGTGACCAAGCTTTAAGTAGCTTCTCGGATTATTTTTTACTCAAAATTCACAATGTTGACATTTTGGATGTAAATACGTTATGTTTCGTAATTGATTTAATATTTAGGTTTCTATTTGCATTTGATTTGATCCAGGTCTAAACACTGAACATTGTCTATCCCTTATAAACACAATTATCAAACATGTTTTCCAGATACCTTCCTTATTCATTCTACTTGTTTTATACATAAATTTGAAAATATATTAGGGTCGAAGTACGCTGTAAAAAAAATATATTTGAAGTCGCAAGTTAAGTTGGCTATTTGGTTCATTAAAGAACAACTATTTTTGTGACCTGTTTTTTATTTTAAAACGTAGGAAATTCAGAAAGCAACCAATTTCTCAAAATTTATTACAATGATGTAGGAAAGGAAAGAAATTATGGAAAGGAATCGGTCAATTTGCGGAGTTAGCAAAAAAAAACCAACACAGTGATAAACCCCTGATCTGCGTAAGATTAAACAATGAAAATGTGACAAGTCCCATTCATAGTAGATTCGACATAAACAATGATAAAAAAATCCAAATCCTACAAGAGCCTTTAACTCAAAAATGTTTTTATATTGCATTTGTATATTATTTATTTAAAAAAGAAGCATGCAATTTCATATGATGAGAAGCACGTGTCAGCATAACTTACTATACGATATACAGTTTGCTCTTTTTTAAAAGCTGTTCAGTGACACTGTATCTGTTTATATTACGGTCCATTGCTGAATAGCGGATGGTTTCTCATTGCCAACTATACCACATCTCCTTGTTTATATACTTCCAAAGATGACTAAAATAATCAATTTTCATCTAAAAATAATATTGAAAAAGGTGATTGCTACAACCAAAATTCTAATAAATAAATTGCAATCTAATTTATAGTTGCTGATACTGTAGGAATGAGATGCTCTTTGCAGTTATACATTTTTGCCTGGTTTGAGAGGATATTTTTGTTTTAATTTTAGCTCAGATTCAGCAGAAATTGAACCTAATAGATACAAAATTGGCAGAAATTGAAAAGAAAAATGAGGAAACTGAACCAAACAATTTAACGTTTTCTCATTTACAAAAACAGATTAATGACCGCACAGAACTAGGTAAATATGAATCATTATAATCAATAAATGTACTTCATCTGGCAAAATCACTGCTTCTGTTCTCATTTGCTAAGATGATCGATCTATTTTGCTGAGCTTAGGAACGGTGAATCTGATGAAAACAAATACTGGAATTTTGGGATTATAGTAAACAATGAAACAATCGATTTTATTAAGAACTTGAATTTACGGAATGTTAACTTTTTGAAGCATAAAACTATCAACATAATTGTATTTCGTATGCGAGGTGTAACATTTTCCATAGTTATTATAATTAGATCAATATATTAAGTAAAAATGCACGGCAAATCGATGACCAGTGTGACCTTTGCTTCAAATTTGGTTTATGTTTGCTTTAAGCTGTGCACATTATATGGTAAGAAATATACAGATGAAACGAACTATAAATGAAAATTGCAAGATTGGTCAATTTTTGCACCTTAATATTTTAATTTCTATGCATGGAACAAACGAAATATGAAAATGAAAGGATCCGGATAAGCAAAGGTGTACCACCCGGGTAGGTTAAACCCGGTTCTGTCATTGAGTATAATGAGATTATTTGTATACAATTATTTCATTTTATAAATCCCGCTGTATTGGTTTTTTTTTCAATTATGAATTTAAATGATTAATTCAACGGCGAAATTCTTTACATTTTTTTTATGATTTCGCAAACCTTTTCATGTTGCACATGTAGCATTGAACTTAAAAGCCTTTATATACAACTTTAGCCTTTATTGTCTTGGAAGGCAGTAGAAAGTAAAATAACAAAAATACCGAACTCCGAGGAAAATTCAAAACGGAAAGTCCATAAACAAATGGCAAAATTCAAAATCTCAAACACATCAAACGAATGGATATATAAGTAAATATTCCACTCTTCCTGACATTGAGAGTAAAATGAATAATACTTCTAGCGATGGTTTGAAAATAATCATCCTGTTCCTGAATATTTTAACATAATTCCAACAAGAAAATATAAAAATGCATTTGCACAAGGCTTAGAAATTAGATGAAAGCAATGCTCTGTCGAGCAATTCATATCCTGTCTTGAACCGAGTACAAATAAAATGATTGTTTTGAGATAATGTGTGGTTGTTCATTTTATATATTCCAACTCTTAAACTTTAGAGAATTTTCGTAGAAATGAACAACAATGTGAAGAGGACGATTTAAACATTCCGTGAACCTACATTTTACAACCGTCATAGATAAAATTCAACGAACACAAATTATTCACACAACAAACACTGCTTTATACGGCCAGTGACTATATACTGTCAAAAAGATCCTCGCAGTGGTCTTGTGGTTGTGTGTTCGTCTAGAGTGTGAGAGGTTGAAGGTTTGATCCCCGGCCTGATCGAACCACGGCTTCCTCCTCCTCCTTCTCATCATCATCATCTCCTTGTTTATATACTTCCAAAGATGACTAAAATAATCAATTTTCGTCAGAAAATATTATTGAAAAAGGTGATCGCTACTACCAAAATTTTAATAAATAGATTGCAATCTAATGTATAGTTGCTGATACTGTAGGAATGAGATGCTCCTTGCAATTATACATTTTTGCCTGGTTTGAAAGGACATTTTTGTTCTAATTTTAGCTCAGATTCAGCAGAAATTGAACCTAATAGATACAAAATTGGCAGAAATTGAAAAGAAAAATGAGGAAACTGGAAACCGAAACAATTTAACGTTTTCTTATTTACAGAAACAGATTCATAACAGCACAGAACTAGGTAAATTTGAATCATTATAATCAATAAATGTACTTCATCTGGCTGAATCCCTGTTTCTGTCCTCATTTGCTAAGATAATCGATCTATTTTGCTGAGCTTAGGAACGGTGAATCTAATGAAAACAAATACTGGAATTTTGAGATTATAGCAAACAATGAAACCATCGATTTTATTAAGAACTTGAATTTACGGAATGTTAACTTTTTGCAGAATAAAACTATCCTATAACTGGAAACATAATTGTATTTCGTATGTGAGGTGTAACATTTTCCACAGTTATTATAATTAGATCACTATATTAAGTAAAAAAGCACGGCAAATCGATGACCAGTGTGACCTTTGCTTCAAATTTGGTTTATTTTTGCTTTAAGCTGTGCACATTATATTGTAAGAAATATACAGATGAAACGATTGTCTTGGAAGGCAGTCGAAAGTAAAGTAACACAAATACCGAACTCTGAGTAAAATTCAAAACGGAAAGTCCATAAACAAATGGCAAAATCAAAATCTCAAACACATCAAACGAATGGATATATAAGTAAATATTCCACTCTTGCTGAAATTGAGAGTAAAATGAATAATACTTCTAACAATGGTTTGAAAATAATCATCAGCTGATCCTGAATATTTTAACAAAATTCCAACAAGAAAATATAAAAATGTATTTGCACAAGGCTTCGTAATTAGATTAAAGCAATGCTCTGTCGAGCAATTCATATCCTGTCTTGTACCGAGTACAAATAAAATGTTTGTTTTGAGATAATGTGTGGTTGTTCATTTTGTATATTCCAACTACTAAACTTTAGATTATTTGCGTAGAAACGAACAACAATATGTAGAGGACGATTTAAACATTCCGTGAACCTACATTTTAAAACCGTCATAGATTAAATTCAACAAACACAAATTATTCACACAACAAACACTGCTTTATACGGCCAGTGACTATATACTGTCAAAAACATCCTCGCAGTGATCTTGTGGTTGTGTGTTCGTCTAGAGTGTGAGAGGTTGTAGGTTTGTTCCCCGGCCTGATCGAACCACGGCATCCCCATCCTCCTTCTCCTCCTCATCATCAACATCATGATATTGACTGCGCAAACAGTTGCAATATATATGAAGATGATATACATGCCGGATTGATGAATTATTATAAAGGTATTTTAATCTCTCCTTCATGCAATGATTATTGTACATTGACAAATGTTTTCGCTAAGAGACGCTGGTCGAGCTCAAGCTAAGGTCAACTGTGCCTACAAGAGTTGGAGTATCCACATTTTAGAAGAAAATAAAAACAACACTTTAATAAATATGGTGTTTTCTGAAATGACCTCCATGAGGAACGCTCAAACCCCAAAAATTATTTGAAAGTCAAGGACGTCGGCATGACGACGTTAGAACCTTTCATGTAGTTATAATACATTTATTACGAAGAAATATAAAAAAAAGGAATGCTATGAATTAGGTCAGTATCGAACCATTGACTACTTATATTAGCTGTTATTCCCTCGTTGTTTCCGCTGGTATCCACACTAATTAGGTCACATTCGATTTACAAAACATATCTGCTACCGTCAAACTAAGAACAAACATTTTTTCATAGATACAAAGGTTTGATTAGTAAATTTGGCTGTACCTGTAGAAAACTTATTAAAAACAGTATGTCACATCCTAAAATTTACGGTAATATTGTACTAAAAGCGCGGAAATCACTATGTGATTCGTGAAAACTTATCGAACCTTTAAATAAACTTATTAGTAAAGGTTATCTTATTAATGTTGTAATAAGGTCTTTGAATATTGTTTTCATTGGCGCTAACATCGATTTTGTTATCAACAAATTAAAAAATAACTAAATTTGTATTATTTTTGAATGGTTTTTAAGATGTATATATACACATCCACGTTTATTTTCTATTTAGAAATTGTTTTATCTATATATAACATCATACATATTTATTATAAGGTTAGTCTCTGATGCATGATTTATAAATATTAATAGTTTTTTTATTTTAACTATTTTTCAGTAACTGCGAGTACTCTCAAATCGTACTTTCGTGTTAATTTGACCTTATTTGTAATGCATTTATGTTATTCAATGTTTACTTATTTTGTATAATATCTCGTCTTACAATGTTTTAATATGTATCACCTTTGATAAGTATTTAGTATGACGATACATTTTATCTTCTGTACTCGTACTATGAACAACAAATTTATTTTGTAAAAAGTATTTCGGTACTCCTAACAACAAAGTTATCATATTTAAATTTACCTGTGTACGTTACTTTATTCAACACAATTTTGTCCTAAGTTAAAGTTGTCTTTTTGACATTGATACATCTTTTTTATTAATATTGTGTCGTAGATCAAACTAAGTCTTATTAGTTCCGTGTATATTTACTTGTTTTTGTGAATATGTCTTTTTGATCGAGTTGATCCATTTCAATTGATATTTTATTGTGTGTATTTTTATGTTGTAATGTTACACCACTGTTTCATGTTAGGGTGAAGGTTGGTGCCTGTTAAAACGTTTAAACCCGCTGCATTTGTATGCACCTGTCCTAAGTCAGGAGCATGTTGTTCAGTGGTTGTCGTAGTTGGTGTTGTTCATAAGTGTTTCTCGTTTCTCGTTTTTTATATAGATTAGACCGTTGGTTTTCCTGTCTCAAATAATCTACACAAGTAATTTTGGGACCCTTTTATAGCTTGCTGTTCGGTGTGAGCCAATGCTCCGTGTTGAAGGCCGTGATTTATCTATAATTGTTTACTTTTTACACATTGTGACTTTGATGGATAGTTGTCTCATTTGGCACTCATACCACATCTCCTTATTTAAAAATAAATAGCCAGAACAATATCTAAAGTATGCAAAAAATATTAACACTTATCATGACATAAACGTTAATATAAAGAGATTGACGATACCAAGGGACAATCTAAAATCATGTCCAATAAACACAGACACAATACGTATAAAAGGAAAGACGACATAAAGACAAACGGGCGTATTGCATTTACGCCAGTTTTTAAAATTTGCAGTATTTCATTTGCGCCACAAGGTTATATTTCATTTGCGCCAAAATATAAATATTGCTTTTGCGCCGTTTTACAGGTAAAATATACTAGTAAGAGTAAAGTTCAAATATACATTGTAAGAGACGCGAATATAAAAATACTCATACTCATACAAAAAAAGTCCGTTTGCTTTAAAGTTGTGTTTTGTTCACATGTGTAAACACAGGTAAAAAAATAGACATTTAATGACCACACTATAAATAAGCAAACGTTTGGAAAAATAGAGAAAAGTCGAACAGATGTACCAAAAATCTTGTAAAACAACACAATTTAAATACGATTAAAAAAATGAACACAGTTATGGTATTGACCAGCAGTTGCAAATTAGAGTTCCCAAGACAACTGATTGTGATCAATATGACTGTCATAAATATGCTTATGTTTTATAATCATGATTAGAACAAAAACTGTGTTTTCGTATTAATTTTTTTTTTAAGAACTCACAAGTGTTTAGTTCCTTGGTTTTTAAGAATATGCGTTATCATCCGAACAAAACGTTTTTTGAATAAACTTACCAGTTTGGTTGTATTATGATGAATAAATGTAGTAAAAGCCTCATTTCATTTTATTTATTCTACATTCTATACTATCTATCTATCATACTATTTACCTGTATTTATATGTTTTATTGGCGCAAATGAAAGGTTTTGTTTTAGCGCAAATGAAGTATGGTTTGTTGCACAAATAAAACATTTTTTTGCACAAATGAAACATTTTTTTTGGCACAAATGAAATGCCAATTGGCTCTAAAGTAAAGTACCGAGACAAACAGAAATAATATAATGTAGGAATAAGCCATTACAACACGTCTCAAGTTAGGGTATAGATGGAGTGGGTGAGAGTCCTTCATTTCTGTATTCTTTAATTTTTTGGGGCATTGTTTTGTATCTTTAAACATAACGCTTATTTTGTAAATTTCTCATGGACATTATCTAATTTAAAATTTATCTGTGATTATATGATTTTTTTATTCTGTACATCATTCATTTCTGTAATCAGTATTGTATTTCTAGTACCTTAATCTCTTACTGATAACAGTTATTCTTTATACTTTTGCAAAACGTTATTTTCTATTGTTTATTTTTTTTACTCATATTTCTCTATTCTTTATCTTTTAAGCAGTTATTCTGTATTTTGTAAATCCCATTCAGACCCTCACAAGTATACAAATAATTTAATGTAGATACAAATATGTAACGAACTATTATATCGACTGATTTTTTACTTCGCTGATTATTCAAAACCTATATTGATAACTCTGATTGATAACCAAAGTAAACAAGTTTAACGAATGAAATTACTTGAATAATTAAAGAAACAGAAGTCAGCTTGTTTAAGCATAATTTTAGTTGAGTTGAATCGATTATTCAGTAAAAAAACATTCCACATATATATCTTCACAATTATTTATTGTTTTTATCATTTGTTTTGATATATTTTCCAGTGGCCATTACAGCTCATCCTTCATCCAGTGCAACGTTACAAGGCATACTAAAGTTTGACGACGTCAATTTCAGTGTTGGAATCAAAAATATGTCGTCATATAAAAGTACCGGGAAGTTTGTGGTGGAGAAGGAGGGACTTTACATAATATCGGCTTCAATCATCTCTAGTGCCAATGGTGCTAAATTCTACATTTACCTGAATGGTAATCAGATATCGGGGACACAGACATTTTATACCAGTAGTCCTCCTTCTTCAATGGAACATACCGGTACTGCTGTTGTAACACTACAGTTACATCTGAATGATAGTCTGTGGATATACTGTCCTGGGAATTATCATATAGCAGGCGACCCATGGTCGACATTAACAATTGTGAAAATCAAATAAATTATTAACTTACATAATCACAACAATGTCTGTAATCACATTTATACGAATCAGTGGCGGATCCAGAACTTTTAATAAGGGGGGGGGGGGGTGGAGCGCTGACTGACCTAAGTGGGGCCCGCTCCAGTCATGCTTCAGTGATTCCCTATATAAGCAACCATATTTTTTCCACGAAAGGCCCCCCCCCCCCCTGGATCCGCCTATGCGAATTACAATACAAAATTTGCAATGGTTGCTATATCAAAGAAGATCGGGTGTTAAAATGAAATAGTTGAAATTATGATATAGCTGTCATACTATGAAGAGTTACAGATTTCTTGGAAAAAAAACTGGGTTATTTGTCAATTTCATGATGTTTATTGAATGTTTTTGTATTGTTGGGTTGCTTTTTGTTGACACAAATCCTACTTCTAAATATCAAGAATTTTGGTCATATGTCAATGAGACCGCAGTCACACATGAAGATTTATTGATGTATGTTTTTTAGCAAAATGCATGTCACGTAACTTAATGTTAAGCTATGAATCGCCGTAGTCTACACAGGAAGATTTCACTCACATCAATTTCACGTCAATTTAAATGCATGTGAATCTCACGCAAAATCACGTGAATTTCACCTCAAACGAGCCTATACGTGAAACTCATGTGAAATTAGTTCATGTATGAATTTTTTTCACGTGAAATTTACGTGAATTTTCAAAATATCGTAATTCAAATAACATCAAATTTTTTTATAGGTAAAGTTCACGTTAACGTCATGTGAAACATTTCACGTAAAATTCATGTATAAGCTCGTTTGAGGTGAATCTCACGTGAAAATTTTCATGTGAATTTCATGTGAGATTTATGTGAAATTCACGTTTAACTTAGCAAAATTTGCCTGTGTAGACATGCCAAAAAAAAGTTATGGATGCAACTGGTTTAACTGTTAAGTTGACTCTCAAATTATCTCCATCCTTTATACTTTTAGGGCGTAGGTGGCCGAGTGGTCTAAGAAGTCGAACTGCGGTATCACTAGCCTGTCAACACTGAGGTTGTGAATTTGAATTCATTACGTTGCAGTTGCGCTCTACTCCAATCTTTAATGACTAGGATTGTCAGTTTTCCTACTGAAGGTCGCTTGTTCTCACCGGGCACTCCGGTTTCCGCCACCAATAAAAGCTTACCGCCAAGAAATAGCAAATTTGAATTTTCATTGTACATTACTACCTTTAAAGTATTAATTGATAGCCATATAAACTGTATAAAGTTCTAGATTTGTGATTGTTGAGATTTATTATGATATAAATAGAAAAATTGAGAATACGCAAATGAGACAATAACCAAATGACACAGAAAATGAATGATATCTAGAGACAAATATGTTGTAAAGTGTCTAGACATTACAAGTTTGTCAAGTTCTAATAGCCAGAGTCGGCATTTAAAGTACATGTAGCTACAGACAACCAATGATATCTAGAGGTCATGAGACTAGACTATACTAGACTAGACTAATCTAGAATAGAGTTGACTAACTAGTCTAGTCTAGTCTCGTGAAAGTCAAAAAAGTATAGGTACCGAAAAACGCAGATACCTATATCTATACTGCTTAAGGAAGAGACCGATTTCATTGAGCCGCAAATCCTCGAAACCATACAAAGTCGGAAATATTTGTAATTGACGTATAATAGTAGTGTTTTGTACTTCCTACATTTGTCTTTGAAACAATCTTTTTTCCACAGAAAACGCCAATTTTTGAGAAAAGATCCAAATTCGGAGACCGTTATCGATCCGCGTCCTATACTCTTTCGTGCATGCTCAGTCGACGTACTGCCCGACAACTCAGCCCATGGTACACTCAAACACTCACTAATTATTGCAACTTGCATCACTTTATCAAACTCGTACCACTCATAAAAAAAAGAAAAGAAATATAACAAACTCGAAGAAATGTGTTTACCCATTAGATTGTTTTCTTTTCTTAGTAAATTCCTCCTTTCTCGGAGCACACGTGTCACACAGAGACAGAACTCGCACCACTCGAGAAAAAAAAAATACTACAAACTCGCACCACTGAAGAAATGTTTTAAATCATCAGGGAGTTCTAGATTGTCTTCTTCTTCTCCGAGTTATTTCCTCCGTTCTTGGAGCACCCGTATCACACAGCGACAGAACTTGACTCGCACCTTTTGAAAAAAAAATCTACAAACTCATAGGAGCACCTGTGTAACACCGAGACAGAAGCTACTAATTGGACATTCGAACTCCTATGGAAGAAGAACTGATAAACTAATAAAAACTATCAACATAATGCATCAGTGCATAAAAACAATTTGAGAAACACAAACCCAAGCTGTGTATCACCATAAACATTTCAGGTAGTCTTCAAGCCGCGCTTGCGCGGATTTTTTAAAGTATGAACAAAAGGGACCTAGATATAAAAGCCAATTCCGTCTAAGGTAAGCTTATCTTGAGGGAATTGGAACTTTAGTTTCTTAATGATTTATAAATTTATAAACGGACAGTTTATAAAACTTGACGACAAAAGAGATGATTTCAGCTTCCCAATTGTGAACTTTCCATTTCTATGTAGCAACATTCCAGCAGCGCCTGCGTATGGAGTATGTATTTCCCAATATGATACGATATTCCAGGGCTTGTATTTCCTATCATGATTTCCTTGATAGAGGGTTGCTGCTCACAAGGAAGATATTAAATCAAGAGTTCCAAATGGTGAAGTTGAAATCCTACCTTCGTAAATTTTACGGACGCCATCACGAGTTGGTTGACCGTTATGGAATATCCGTTTCACATATGATAGCGGATATGTTCCTAATGTAACTATCATGCCGTCCCCTTTTCACGAATTAGACTTGTTACCGGGTTTGTACTAACATGAGCAACACGACGGGTGCCACGTGTGGAGCAGGATCTGTTTCTATGTTGTGTTTTGTGTACCATTGTTTGTCTGTTTGTTTCATTTTTAGCCATGGCGTTGACAGTTTATTTTTCGATTTATGAGTTTGAATGTCCATCTGGTATCTTTCGCCCCTCTTTTAATAAAGGTACGTTATAAATCATGTCAGTATCGACGTACCAACTACAAAACTAATAAAAGAACCGACTACTGTGCTAATAAAAGTACCGACTACTGAGCTAATAAAAGAACCGACTACTGAGCTAATAAAAGTACCGACAACTGAGCTAATAAAAGAACCGACTACTGTGCTAATAAAAGTACCGACTACTGAGTTAATAAAAGTACCGACTACTGAAGTAATAAAAGTACCGACAACTGAGCTAATAGAAGTATTGACTACTGAGCTAATAAAAATACAACCTACTGAGCTAATTAAAGTACTGACTACTGAGCTAACAAAGGAACCGACTACTGAGCTAATAAAAACACCGACTACAGAGCTTATAAAAGTACCGATTACTAAGCTAATAAAAATACAACCTACTGAGCTAATTAAAGTACCGACTACTGAGCTAATTCAAGTACCGACAACTGAGCTAATTCAAGTACTGACAACTGAGCTAATAAAAGTACCGACTACTAAGCTAATAAAAGAACCGACTACTGAGATTATCAAAGTACCGAATACTAAGCTAATTAAAGTCCCGGCTACTCAGCTTATAAAAGTACAATCTACTGAGCTAATAAAAGTACCGACTACTGAGCTCATAAAAGTACCGACTACTGAGCTAATAATAGTACTGACTACTGAGCTAACTAAAGTACCGACTACTGAGCTAATAAAAGTACAATATACTGAGCTAATAATAGTACTGACTACTGAGCTCATAAAAGTACCGACTACTGAGCTAGTAATAGTACTGACTACTGAGCTAATAAAAGTACAATATACTGAGCTAATAATAGTACTGACTACTGAGCTCATAAAAGTACCGACTACTGAGCTAATAATAGTACTGACTACTGAGCTAATAAAAGTCCCGGCTACTGAGCTAATTAAAGTCCCGGCTACTTAGCTAATGAAATTACAACCTACTGAGCTTATAAATGTACCGACTACTAAGCTAATAAAAGTACCGACTACTGAGCTAATAAAAGTACAGACTACTCAGCTAATACAACTACCGACTACTGAGCTAATACAAGTAACGACTACTGAGCTATTAAAAGTACCGACTACTGAGCTAATAAAAGTACCGACTACTGAGCTAATTAAAGTCCCGGCTACTGAGCTAATTAAAGTCCCGGCTACTTAGCTAATGAAATTACAACCTACTGAGCTTATAAAAGTACCGACTACTAAGCTAATAAAAGTACCGACTACTGAGCTAATAAAAGTACAGACTACTCAGCTAATACAACTACCGACTACTGAGCTAATACAAGTAACGACTACTGAGCTATTAAAAGTACCGACTACTGAGCTAATAATACCCTCAGAGACTTATAGTACACCAGAAGCAGTATCAAACCACTGCCATAAAAAAATGAAGACAAAACATATAAATTTCATACGTCCGAACGGCTTTCCTGGATTAACTTTCAACAGGAACACTCGAGGCCCAATATTTGAGTATTTGAAAATCAAGAGGGTATAAGTACCGAAAAATTACGAAACATTTGCATAAAGGTCATACGAACATGACCCTCAATTGAAACTTTTGAGATCTTACAAGAGCCATAAATTAATCTGAAGTTATTTCAATCAGTTTGGGTTAAACTAGTTTTTCAGAACTAAATAATTACCTTTTTCAATAATAATTTGTAGATTAACAAAACGTACATAAAGGTTTAAACAATAAAACCAGTACAGGAAAGGCACTTACTTAACTCTAAAATAACGGTACAGGTGTAATACCGCCATTGTGTTCCCCTATTAGTCTTTTTAAATTTGCACTTTTCAAAATAAATTGTGCAGAATTTATCTTTGTTTCTAATAAAAGAAATACTTAGCATGAGTAAACTTTTATCCTGTCCAGTACTATAGACAAAATTTCACATGTTATTGCATATAAGATAATAACCATCTCTGGAATTTAACCAATAACATTTTCACCCCTTTTCTTTTTTTAATAACCATGTAACCTCTTTTCTTTTGTTAG